AAACAAAAATGAGAGCTGACATTTTATATGTTTTACTTCACTTATGATCAGTGACTAAATATTTTTTTCTTTTCTTTTTTAGACTTGGGTCTAGATCAATATATAATAAAACGCTTTGATGGAAAGGTAAGTAAACTGTGACATTTATGTATATATCCTGTTGTTTATTAAGATTTTATAAGAAAATTTTTAGGTTTCTCCAGAATTATGTATAAGAGATCCCTGAATACCTCTTTATCTTATGAAAAACACATGTTTAGTTGGGGTACCTGTGCTGTCAAATGCTTCTACAGAAAAGAATCAAGCAGAAAGTTCTATATTTTTCCAGGTAAAGTAATTTTCATGGATTGCCTTCTGTATATATGAAGGGGTAAATCAATGTTTGTTAATTTTTGAATGTTAACTTAGTAGTCATATAAAGGCTAATCAGCCCCCCAATACCATGTTTGCATTTCTTACAGTAAAAACACTTACCTGATGTGACCTTCCTCAAGCTTTCCGATGCTGTAACAAGAAAATTACAAAAATCATTATAGTCCTTTTGTAATAATTATGACGACTACTCCAGATTTGCATATGCTTTCATTATACTTATTTTTAATTCTTTATACTTGAATAAATCACATAAGAAATCATTCTTAGATATAGAAAATGGAATTTTATATTTTATTAATCTCAGAAAGTAGTCAGTTAAACATGTTTTTCCCTTTCAGGATAAATTCTCCAAAAAGAAAGCATTACACAGGGTCAGAAAGGAAAATATATGGTCATTTTTAACGAGGAGGAAGAAAGCACATCAGAAGGACGAGCAAGCCAGGCATCGCTCTATAAACCATAAAGAAAAGGAAATGAGAATGAAAGTCATCAAGTGGCTAAAAAAGGCAGGATCACAAAAGAGGTCTAGTTGGGGGAGAGGTCAGGGTTAGTAGAAATTGATTTTGAGGGACTATTTCAATTCTTGTGTGATTACATGAAACTCCATACCCTGCTAAGGTTAAGAATAAGGGTTGAGCTATTTGGCACAAATGCAAAGAATGAGTTAACTGCCTTAAATTTGGGAGAACTCAGCTAAGCCTACCTGCCTAAAACTTACCTTTCCCATTCAGGTGTCATAGTGCCTAAAGGCCTCCATCTGTGAGTATTCTCTTTTTAAAACCACATATTCTTTTTTTTTTTTTTTT